ATCATCCCTAGGGAAGAATTCAAGACCACTTGAGATCATTTTGGTACTGAAAGACCTCTAGCATTTCATTCTCTGAAAAAACAGGATAAAGCCAAGTACCTGCAGAGGCAGAGCTCCCAGCACCCACCCCCCTCTTCACAAAAGGATTCATTCCATTGAACATACATGAAATAAGCATGCCCATTCAGACAAAGGGTAAGGAAAAATACATGTCCACTGAAATTTGTGAGAAATGGTTCATACTGCCATCTGCCCCTCTGAAAGAGAACTGATGTGAAAATAACCAGAAATGTCTTCTGCATACCGTTCTCAAAATACCTACTCTCTGCTCCAGTGATAACAAGCAGAGAGGATACAAGAAATATTCTGGGACAGCTGTTAAATCCAAAACATGCAGAAAAATGTCTTTATATAATAACTGATAAAAATACCAATATATTTTATGCATGGATGTATTCTTCACATGTCAGGACATTCTTTTCTATATAAAAACCATAATCAAATCCAAACTCTCGTCTAAAATTTAGTCAATAAATTTACTATCATTCTTTTTCATACAAAGAGAGGCCCCTAAGATAACTATGGGCCAATAAGATTCAAGAAATTCAAGATGCATTACTACAAAATTAATTCGGCTTCCTAAGGCAAATATGAAATAATTCCACCAAGAATCCATAAATAATGATGTCATACTAATTTTTTCCATACACTGTTTCACAGGCAACTTGCACATGAATAAACATTCTCCATCACATCCTGGTGCAAATATTGGTACTGCAACAAAGAACAATCAATATCCTTGTATATTAATATCCCTTTATAATCTGCTTACGTAATTTGCTCAGACTGTAGTATAATCCATTCTCCTTAACAATCAATTTATATCACATATATATATAGAAAACCCCCTCATTTTAAATGGGTTTCTACCTCATTAAAATTTCTTAATGAGTCTGGGGATACAGCTTTAGAGTAAATGAACAGAAGGTATTTTAAATAAAATTAGCTGAATTTAAATAAAAACAGCTCATACTTAACAATACCCTACAGCTAGCAAAAATGAGCTAGTTTATGCACAAACCACCTCGTGTGACTTCCTCTTCTTCCATAAACATTTGCTTTGGGAAGAGCAACCTCATTGAACACTCACGCAAGAGAGAATGTTATTTTAAAGTAACAGACAGAAGCTGAATATACCCCTATGTGTAACACTGGCTATTCAGGAGTGCATGTTGCCCCTTACTGTGCAATAGTAATATTCAATAATCTTACTCTATGATTGAGGCCAGGTAATAAAATTTGGCTTCTTACCAATGTTATGCATTACTTTTTTTTTTTTTAAATGGTTGCAAAACTAAAATCTTCAGTCTTAAAATGAATTCAGAGAGAGACATTGAATTTTGCATCACTCTATCCTGACTTTGCTGAAGCCAATGCTATTCAAAACTTGTATCTGTCAGAATTCACAGACAGGAGGAAGGCACAACTCTTCTGATTTTGGAGCTGTTTGATGAATATCAGGTTATGTAGCCAAAAACCTGAAAGATAATAAAAGAGGCAGTTGCAATACTTTAACTTTTCCTAATAGCAATGGGATCTGATTTTGGAACTATGCACTTTTTTTTTTTTTTCAGATCGTGATTTTGATGCCCAGCTATCCAGATCCCTTTTTCACTGCATTATTTTCTGTTCCCTCTGCTCCAAAGCAGTATCATTGAAGAGAAATGCTCCAACTTGATAGGTTCATCTCAGTCACCTGAAACACAAACATTACTTGTTTTTAAAGAAGCAAGTGACAAAGAATATTCAGATTAGTGATTTTCTTTTTCATGCAGAAACCACAGAGCATACTATTCTTACCCCAAGCACGTAACATTTCCCCACCAGAAGACAAGCAGATTTTTCATTTCTCATCAAAAAAAAAAAAAAGAAACAAAACCCCGCTTCCTGCTAGCTGTAAGGGCATCGGTAAGCTGAGCTGTAGCAACATTTTGTTTATTCTGTTCCAAGCTGCATCCTTGCTGCCCGTCCCCTTGGAGGCCACCGGCAGATGACAAGCCCCGTTTCACCTTCTGCAAAAGGCACACAGTATTTGCCGATTTTCTCTTGCATTTTTAGCAAGGGCTTTCTTTAGCGCTTGCGTGTCACACAGGCTGCAGTTAAACAGTCGCAGAGCAAAGCCGTCGCCGGCCCGCAGGCCCCGTCGTTGGGCTCTCCCTGGGCGCCGCTCACAGGCCCGGCTTGCCCGTGATTCCCCCGCAGGATGGCGGCGCCCGCGCCCCCGTCCCGGCCCCGGCCCCGG